AATGGGTTCGCCACCAAAAGCACCACAGCATATAAGAAGCCTCAGACGCACCTCACCAATTTTATTATACATATGTTCTCCCATAATGTAGCGGACTTGATCCAGCATATCATTTTCAAAGTTCTTGTAGTGTTCCTTAAATATGTGGGTTGCTGCTATCAGTTGCGAAATAGTCTCCTCCCTACACAAGAAAATTAAAGAAGTTATGAACAATAAGGCATTTTAGAAAGCCATGTTAAAGACCGACTTGTGCTGTTCAAAGTGAAAGATCATATTGTTTTCTACTCTTAAGTCATTAAAGAGGGATTGAACAATACTGTAAGTTTCTTTTCGCTGATTCGGTATCCTGACTCTGAAATTGCACGCATGTAAAATTTTTGATTCATTTTCACAAATTTCAACAGTAATGATCTTTCCCATTCCATGCGGATTATTTCTGTCTTTGTGTTTTTGGCGTTGAGCCATCTTTTTTATGTGCTGTACTATACTATCTCGACTTTGACTAGTCCATACTAAAAAAAAATCACATTAATCATATAATAAAAAAAAAATTAGATTTCTTCTTATAAGTTATATTTTGATTTTTTTTTTAAAACAACCATAAATTACTAAAATTGGTAAAAATATCACATTGAAAATATCACATTGATTTGTTCTTTTGTGTTCCTGCTTCTGAATAAATATGGGTTTAAAGCAAGAGATCGGCTTTTTATATTATTTGCAAAATCTTATAAATATCTTATAAAATGACTTGAAAAGCTTATCAAAACTTATAAATATCTTATAAAATAATTTTAAAAGCTTATAAAAGGTTATATTCACCATACATTGTAATCATGCTAAAAGCTTATAAAAGCTTAAAAATATCTTATAAAATATTTTGCTTATAAAAGGTTATATTCACAATACATTATAACATACCATATTTGTAGGAAATAAAAATATTTTATATTATCATTATTTAAAAATCATTTATATTTTGTTAAAAAAAATCTTTATGATGGACTAGCTAGGTCAGCTGGGACAGCTAGGGGGAAGCTCATCTCACTTTGGCCGAGTGTTCGGGTCTGGACCAGTGCGGATGGTCCGAGCAGTTACAAAAATCATTTTAAACCCGCGGATCACGGGTCATGCGGGGCGGGTTTGATCCGCAACCCAGCACTATCTGCAACAAGGGATGAGAGAGAGACGGAGATGAACACAGAAAGATCGGAGCTTTAGGGAATTGTGTCTACAACTAGGCCTAGAAATTTTCTAAAAAGTACGACAATTTTTAAAAATAATATTTAAAATTCCATCAACATATTTATTATTAAACAAACATATGAAAACTGGTATAATCAGAAGTTTGATAATTACTCTTCATATTTTTCTCTAAATATTAAAATTCCATAAACACAAAGCAAGAGATTCAACGAATTACAAAAAAACATTAAAACAAATCATGAAAGATTTTTGGTAAAATTTTAGATTTTCCAAAAATATAAATGTGGTATTAGCGTAAATTGTCCAAAATATAGTTTAGATAATTTAACTAATTTTATATTAGATTTATGAATAATTTAAATATTTTGAAATTTTTTATTAACTTTTGAGGTTTAACAATGTATTAGAAAAATTAAGAGTTAAATTGACAATCAAGACTCGCAATCCTTAAAAAGAGTATCATCTGCATTGCATTACAAAATCATACAAATCCCATAAAGCATTTTCGTTCGTGGACTGATTTGTTTTGCCTTTTACATAGCAAAAGTTCCCATTTAACTAAAGTTCAGGAATGTTTTGGCCAATATACCACAAGTACAAAAACTAGTTGAAAACTAGTGCATTCCATAGAGTATTGGAAGAATGGGTTCACCATAAAAAGCTTCAGCACGTAGAAGATACCTCAGATGAACCTCACCAATACCATTAAACATATATTCTGACAACTTGTTGCGCGCTTCTTTCAACTTCTCATCTTCAATCTTCTGGTACTTTTTCTTAAAGTCACTGGCCGCTCTTCTCAAAGTGGAAACAATGGCAGCTTGATCAACCTTCTTCTTATGCATTCGACATAGTATGAAATGAATGGGTTCGCCACCAAAAGCACCNCTTAAAGTCACTGGCCGCTCTTCTCAAAGTGGAAACAATGGCAGCTTGATCAACCTTCTTCTTATGCATTCGACATAGTATGAAATGAATGGGTTCGCCACCAAAAGCACCACAGCATATAAGAAGCCTCAGACGCACCTCACCAATTTTATTATACATATGTTCTCCCATAATGTAGCGGACTTGATCCAGCATATCAGTTTCAAAGTTCTTGTAGTGTTCCTTAAATATGTGGGTTGCTGCTATCAGTTGGGAAATAGCCTCCTCCCTACACAAGAAAATTAAAGAAGGTATGAACAATAAGGCATTTTAGAAAGCCATGTTAAAGACCGACTTGTGTTGTTCAAAGTGAAAGATCAGATTGTTTTCTACTCTTAAGTCATTAAAGAGGGATTGAACAATACTGTAAGTTTCTTTTCGCTGATTCGGTATCCTGACTCTGAAATTGCACGCATGTAAAATTTTTGATTCATTTTCACAAATTTCAACAGTAATGATCTTTCCCATTCCATGCGGATTATTTCTGTCTTTGTGTTTTTGGCGTTTAGCCATCTTTTTTATGTCTTGTACTATACTATCTCGACTTTGAGCAATCCATTCTATTTTGTATTGTCCATTCTATTTTGTGTACTTGTTATCTTCCAAATCTTCTCTTAGAATGGTTCCATACTATGTATATTACAGTATGATATTTAAAGTATATTATATAGATTATATTTGAATTTATAGATCACTGTTTAGGATTTAGATTTAGTAGAGATTTTTGTTTGGTTTTTAATATTTCAACATAATAACAACAGCTGGACATGGAGTAAAACTCTTCTATACTATTTATAAATGTTTCATACTATATCTAGCACAAAAATATGCAGCATATTATTTAAAGATTCTATTTGGGTTTATAGATCACTGATTAGAGTTTAGATTTAGTAAATAAGGTTTATCTTGACTTTTAGTATTTTGTCATAATAACAACTAATGAAAATGGAGTAAACTACCATTCTACGCTATTTAAAGAAGTTTCATGCTATGTCGACTACAATATGAGAAATTTGCAGCATATTATATTGACTCTATTTGGGTTTATATATTGGTGATTAAGGTTTAGATTTAATAATTATGGTTTATCTTGGGTTTTAGTATTTAAGTTGTTGTGTAAGACTTAATATTTATGGGCCATACTATGTATTGTATCCACACATTTCTGCATACAGTGAAAATCTATGCTTGAAAACATTGGAGACTACATAGTATGGAACAAGGTAGGGAAAATAAAATAGTTTTAATTTTGACTATGCTATTCGACCAAGGTAGGGAAAATAAAATAGTTTTAATTTTGACTATGCTATTCGACCAATATTTCTACTCCGTCGTCCATCTTGTTTTTGATAGTTCTTTCCTATATTCCAACTAACAAATTCGTGTTTTGGTTTTCTTATTATTAAGTTGTCATGAACAAATTAGGCCTTCCAAGAAGGGGATGTTTCTCAGACTCCGAAAATGATAGTCATGAGGACGCCGCAGCAGAAGATCCGGTGAGGTGAATTACCGTCTACATTCTTGCAGAAGTTTTGGTGGAGGAGAAGACCGTTTACATAGGCTCATTCGGGGAGGAACGATCGGAAAATAAAATTTTTGTCCTCACGTTATATTTTATTATAAATATATAAAATAGAAATGTAAAGCGATTAAGTTTGTTATTCCACATGTAACATCGACATCACCATCACTTGTTTCCGCACCACCATTTTTTCTCCTCGACCACCGTCATCACTCATCGTCTCTTCTTCTCCTTCACCTCTCCCCGTGTTGAATATTGTGAACCAATAGAGATTGTACTATTAATAATTGTTATGTACTATTATTTGTAACGGTTACTTGTGTATGTGATAATAATCAGAGAAACAAACCTAGTTTTGTTCTATTTTATGATAGATATATAGAACAAACATATAACATGACATGTATTATGTTTTTTTTACTCCAACTCTAACATTGACACTACCACAAGTTTTTTCCTCGTTGCTAACTTGCTATAGCGCTCTCCTTCTCCATCGTCACCACCCAAAATCTCCTCACTTCCTATAACTATTACAATGTACTATTTGTTTTATTATATTCCATTTGATGAACATAAAATAGAAATATAGTATCACAGTGAATAAATATGTGTTTTTTTTTATTTTATTCTATTATATTTGATGAATGTAAAATAAGATTACATGAGTCTTATCGGTCAATGTATGGTAATGAAAAATGTATTCTTACCAAGTCTATTCTATAATTTGTATTTATATAGTATAGCTTATTTATCTAGTCTACTATGCAGTGTGTGAAAATGACAAATGCATTTTTTACCAATCTTTAGTTCATTCTATAATTTATTTTTATATAGTATAGTTTGATAATTCTATTTTGTTTTTCCTATTGACCGTGCACAATGAAACCATATGCAGTTATTATAGATGTGACGTGGATGATTTAGTTTCAAACAAATAACAACATTTCTCGGTAAATGATGGCCATATGTGATATCATCTTTAATTCACCGGATACCTGTAATAAGAAGGGGTAATACCGGATAAATTGAAGCATAATTGTTAGTTTTTACATTATGTCAAAATCAATGTCATCTACTTAATTTCTCTTCTAATTTTAGTCATTTGGCAAATTCTCCCACCAATTAAATCACACGATCTTGTTATGGTTATTAATACCGGTTGGTCATTCACATGTTCTAATTAATTGCCGGTTATTAGAACCCCCAAACTAATAAAATAATAAATAGTTTTTTTGGTTATATTGAGGCTTTGTTTCTGAATTACAAGGAATCAAGAATCCCTTCTCCCAAACCGAATACTTCGCGTGTCTGATAATGGTTACTACAGCTACGCCTAAGTGATGATAACTGTCTGTTTCAATGCTTTGAAGATTATATGATTTTGATCAACATGAGAAACGGCTGTGTGATCAAACAAACAAAGATAAATGTATAAATAGAAATCTTCAAATAAGCTTTAATATCAAACAAGAGAACTTTTGCATTGGGATATTTCGTCAAACACCTTAACGACTCTTTTAACATAAACAACACACAAACAAACAAAATAATTAAAAACGAGCCAAGCTCTCTACATCATAGATTGCACAAAAAATTCTTCTAAGCTCTTTCACCTCGTATCCTCCTCGCGAGCTGTATATCCTTAGGCATGATGGTGACTCTCTTTGCATGAATCGCACAAAGATTCGTGTCTTCGAACAATCCAACAAGGTAAGCCTCTGTCGCTTCCTGAAGAGCCGCCACGGCGCTGCTCTGGAACCTTAGATCGGTCTTGAAATCCTGAGCAATCTCACGAACAAGACGCTGGAAAGGAAGCTTACGGATCAGAAGCTCAGTGCTCTTCTGGTACTTCCTGATCTCCCTCAGCGCCACCGTTCCGGGACGGAATCTGTGAGGCTTCTTCACTCCGCCGGTGGCCGGAGCTGATTTCCTGGCTGCTTTCGTTGCCAGCTGCTTCCTTGGGGCTTTGCCTCCCGTGGATTTTCTTGCGGTTTGCTTCGTACGAGCCATAAGAATCTTCTATAGAAGGGAATGAGAATGCGAAAGTTGGGAGGTGAAGAGTAGAGCAGAAGATGTGTTGTTTTTATAAGAAGAGAGATTTAGTTTCCTGTCCGTTTGATTAAAGTACTATGGACGGCTGAGATTTTATGATACCATCAATCCGCGTGATTCATTTATCAGTCAATTAAAACACTCCAATAGACTGTTTGACCTATCCGTGTGATGTGTGCTATCAACCAATTAAAATCATCTTTTCCAGATTAGAGCAACTTTCGCGCCACTTGAAATTTTTCTGCATGAACGAATTTTTTTAAAAATAAGTAAAGCGATTAATACATCAGTAGACAAGAAGTAATATAGGATATTGTAGCATGAAGAGAATGGAACGTGATGGTTGTAACAGAGCTTGTACATTTTTGACAATGCTTGAAGCTTATTTGAAAAGATAGATAGAGCACACGTATAAGACTCAATGACTTGGGGTTGTGACTTGTGAGTCTAAATTTTTTGGATTATATTGTAAGAAGCTAGGAAAAATGTTATAGACTTCCTTCATGTCTTTGAATCTTAGTCTCATGAAAAATGTCATCGTAGAATAAAAGCCTCAAATGGGAATCACATCACAATGGTTATAAAGTAGGATCTATCAGTATGAACAAATTTCAGAAGCTACCTTCTCAACGAATTTCAGAAGCTACCTTCTCAACGAGTTAACGTGAATGTTAGAGAGCCACCTCGATGTTAGTTTCATCCTGATACTGATGCCACATTGGACCCTTTGAGCAATCTACACCAACTACAATGTTAATTGTTGAAACCAAGTAAGAATTCAACAACAACAAAAAAAAAGTAAGAATTCAACACAATACTTCTTGAAGCTTCCACAAGTGCTCCATCTGGAGAGTGGATAAAGAATGTCTTGCAAGCTCAAATAGTCTAACAACTACAGAGAGGATTCAGTGAGCTTTTAGACAATGTAGAGGGAGAATAGGTCTAGCTGGCCACACCTTGTAAAATTAAAGATCCAAGGTTTCATCAGATTCATAATTGAGATAATATCATTCTCTTGCCCTTTCCTTTCTTCTGTTTGCAGTCTCATGAACATTGTGATGAGGTATTTTGTTTCCAACTAAGTTGTTCAGGAAAATCTTTTAGATATGCCATGTGAAAGCTTTTGCTGACGTTCTCTTGTTGAAATAGCTATCAGAGAGATTCTGGATGAAATATCACTGGAACCTAAGTCTCAACCATATCCATTTAGGTGATGGAAGATTATCCTCTCAGCTTTTAGACTGTAGGATACCTGGTATCTCTCTTGTCTCGAAGAAGACACCTGCAAAGACTATATAGATTCAATACATGCAGCATAGCTAGAAAATCAGATGTTAAACTTGTCCTCTGTTATAAGAATGCACTTCTCCAAAGCTAAAACCAGCTTATCATCTGCAAGTCTGCTAAAGATGCAAAGGAATACAAGTAAAAGAGTAATAATATGCAGCTCTCTACTGCGTCTACCAAACACATCATTAAAACATATAAGAACGTGCAGGGGGAAAACAACTCAGTTTCTTAGCTTCGCATTTCGATTAGGATCATATTCTATGGTTATGATTCTACCATGTCACTTCATGGTATAGACTCTTATGACCTCCAACCTTTACTATTAGTTAACATTCGTTTCAGGTAGCTTACTCATGTTCATTATGAAACTCTGCGGCAAAGAATCCAGGTGAGTCTACTCCATGGATGTTAACTTCCGATGCTAATGAGACTGGTTTTGTCAAGGCTATCATCAAGGTAAGACGTTTTGGTCGAGTTCATTTGATGTATTTACCAATTTAAAATCTGTATCCATCGCCTTCACTTCACAGAGCCATTGGATTATTACATATTCCGGTCTTATTCAGATTTAGGAACCAGTTCAGATACTTATATGATTTGTGGCATAAATGAGTCTAGACTTACAGATTGGAATAGAAGTAAAAACAATTTACTTAGATGCTTAGGTTTGTCATAAGCTGTAAAGAAAAAATTAAAACACCAAACTCGTGAAGAAAAAGGTTCATGAAATTAAAAGATACTCCATACGAAAATGTCAACTAAATTGAACACCATAACCTTTTCTGAAAGATTCAAATAGTATTTGAGATTGAAGCAACACGGTACCAACAAAACAAAAGTAGATAAGACGCAGTAACTTAAAAGAGTAACTTAAAAGAGAGATGTTCCTTTTCCCTTCTTGTCTCCACCAATTTCAAAGTGCTTGCACCTCTGCAAAAACCACACAAATGTAAGAAACAGTTTTCTCAATACTTAAGAGTGAGTGTTATACAAAAAGAATGTATCGTTACCTTAATTGAGTGTTGGGAGAAATGTTTGCATGTTTGGCACTGGAGCCTCAACACAATCTTCTTGGTTGTCTTAGCCTGTTCCACACAAAAACAATTGATAAGCACACGCAGAATTAACAGATCAGACATATAAGTCTAAATTTACACACTGCACAAATTTAATCATGACAATCCCTACACAGGTTTTCAGATGGGAGAGACTAACTACTAGTAATAGATAAAAATAAGCCATGATAAGTCAACTCAAGTAGTGTTGTAGCATGTGTTTTGGTTACCTTCTTGTGGAAGACAGGCTTGGTCTGACCACCATATCCAGACTGTTTGCGGTCATAACGACGCTTTCCTTGGGCAGCAAGACTGTCTTTACCCTTCTTGTACTGGGTAACCTTGTGCAAGGTATGCTTCTTGCATTCCTTGTTTTTGCAGTAAGTCTTCTTAGTCTTGGGAATGTTCACCTACCACCAATTCAACAATTTAAAAAAAAAACAACTTGGAGTTAACTAACTCAAATAAACTGGTTCTCAACAACATAAATACTAGACCGAGGAATCAAAAGATCACTATTAAAATATTTAAGACTGATACTTTCACAAGTTTAGCGTTTACTACCAATTTTTGGAGACTTGAAGCAGAAAACGTAGAGATAAATAACAAACGAATAACGAGACATCACACATAAATGGTTGCTATCATAGGATTAGACTACTCAACTAGTCTACTTTAATACTCTCTTCTTACAATGTTTTTGGTGATCTAACCATGGATTAGACACTATTAAATTTCGAAACAAAAAAACAGAAAATAAAAAGAAACAATCACCCAACAGATCTATAAACATTAGTTTCCTTTCTTCAAAACTCTTTCCTTTTCCTAAGTATCTCCGAAACCAAACAGAGCTCTACGAAACACCAATTGTCATCCTAAACCATGAGAAGCTCAACAAGGAAAAAGAAAGGGAAGAGAGTCTCACCATTTTCGCTCTTCGGTGAAAGGTCGTGCCGTCGTCGTCCTCAGCTCCCAAAAGCCTGAAACATCTTAAATGAACAAAGCTTATAAAAGAGAGAGACTTTCGTGAAACCCTAGTGTCCTATTGGGCCTTTATAAATATTAAAAGCCCATTTAAGAAACTAACTATAAGCCCGTTATCTCACCTCCTCTTTTTCGAAAGAGCATAGTAAACATATTTTTATTCGACGAAAATAAATAAAAAGTAAATTATACTTTACGGTGTCACGTGGGGAAAAAACTAGCCGTTACAACGGTTATGTTTCTTTTGTTCAAACTTCAAACCTCGAGAGAATCCCAAACCCTAAATCCCCAATTGTCTTTCTCTCTCTCTCTCTGCTCTTTCTCTCTCAATCTCTGAAAAAGTTATCAAAAAATGGCTCCGACGCCAACCTCAGCAAGATCGAACCAGACTCAATTCACGTTAATCAGAACCCCACAAACGAAACAACGACTCAATTTCCACCCGAAAACCCCAAACCCAGACAATCACAATCTCCCCCCACCGGAGCATCCAGTGGAAGTAGTGGGTCGGATCCGAGACTACCCAGATCGCAAGGAGGAGAAACCAGCATCGATCTTGCAGGTCAACCCAGACAACCAAACACTCCGAGTCAGAGCCGAAGTCGGAGGGTACAGAGACTTCACCTTAGACGGAGTTTCTTTCTCGGAGAAAGAAGACATCGAATCTTTTTACAAGCGGTTTATAGAGGAGAGAATCAAAGGCGTCAAGGTTGGGAATAAGTGTACAATCATGATGTATGGGCCCACTGGTGCTGGAAAGAGCCATACCATGTTTGGTTGTGGGAAGGAGGAGCCTGGGATTGTGTATAGGTCCTTGAAGGATATTTTGGATGGAGAAGGTGGTGTTGCGTTTGTTCAGGTCACTGTTCTTGAGGTTTATAATGAGGAGATTTATGATCTTCTCTCGACTAATAGTAGCAGCAACTTGGGGATTGGTTGGCCTAAAGGAGGTAGCACTAAGGTAACTTTTTTTTGGGTGAAATTAGTATTATTAGAGACGTTAATGGATGGCATATCAGTACTAAAAGTCTTGTTTTTTTACAGGTGAGGCTTGAAGTAATGGGGAAGAAGGCGAAAAATGCGACCTTTATATCAGGGACAGAAGCTGGAAAGATCTCTAAAGAGATTGTCAAAGTGGAGAAACGGAGGATTGTTAAAAGCACACTTTGCAATGAAAGGAGTTCTCGCAGTCACTGCATGGTTTGTTTCTTTCTTTCTTATAATGCATTATATTACGTTTTTGTTTGTTACAACTTGTAAGGGATTGTATGTGTAGATCATACTTGATGTGCCTACTGTTGGGGGAAGGTTGATGCTTGTTGACATGGCTGGTTCTGAGAATATAGACCAAGCTGGCCAGACTGGATTCGAAGCCAAGATGCAAGTAATGTTTGCTTTCTCTAGCTAGCCTCTCTCAATATATTCTGCGATTCTATCAAAGTAACTGACCTGTATCTTTTATTTAATAGACTGCTAAGATCAACCAGGGAAATATAGCACTAAAGAGAGTTGTGGAATCCATAGCAAATGGAGACTCTCACGTCCCCTTTAGAGACAGCAAGCTGACCATGCTGCTTCAGGTGATTTTCTTGTTCTATTGATGTATCCTCTGCAAGGTGTTTTCTGTGTCTCCTTGAAGATATTTAGTGTTGTTTTCTTGATATGCAGGATTCTTTTGAAGATGACAAGTCAAAGATTCTAATGATCCTATGTGCAAGCCCGGATCCTAAGGAAATGCACAAGACTCTCTGCACTTTAGAGTATGGGGCAAAAGCAAAATGCATAGTTCGCGGATCACATACTCCCAACAAAGACAAAAATGGCGGTGATGAGTCTTCCTCTGCTGTGATTTTGGGAACAAGAATAGCAGCAATGGACGAGTTTATTTCCAAACTCCAGTCTGAGAAGAAGCAGCAGGAGAAAGAGAGGAACGATGCACAAAAGCTGCTGAAGAAGAAGGAAGAGGAAGTTGCTGCTTTGCGATCTCTTTTAATACAGAAGGAAGCTTGTGCTACCAATGAAGAGGCCATCAAAGAGAAAGTAAACGAGAGAACACAGCTTCTGAAAGCAGAACTAGAGAAGAAACTTGAGGAATGCAGAAGAATGGCTGAGGAGTTTGTTGAGATGGAGAGAAGGAGAATGGAAGAAAAGATAGTGCAGCAACAAGAGGAACTTGAGATGATGAGAAAACGGTTGGAGGAAATTGAGGTTGAGTTTAGGCGCTCAAGGGATGGAGATACGGTGAGGTCAGTGGATGAAACCAGTGGGTTTGCCAAGAGACTCAGGGGTCTTTACTCTGATGACGATATGGTGAAGTCAATGGATCTTGACATGGGTGATCCAGAACCAGTCAAGCAAATATGGGGAGCTGCTGTTTCATACCAACCAAGCAGCACAACTGGTAGCAATTTGTCTGACGTTTTGCAGCCAAAGCCTACAGAGAATATGCTTGCGCAAATGTACCCTGACCGTGTATGCCTGAGCACTGTCTTTGAAGAAGAAGAGGTCGAAGAAGATGAGGAGAAGATGATAATCGAGGATAAAAGCATCTGCTCGATAACAACACCAGTCCCTAGTTTAAACTTTGAACGTAGCGGTGGAGAGAATTGCTTCAACGTTACAGACGACAAAGAATCAGAAATGTCTAGAAAGCTGAGAATTCAAAACATATTCACCCTTTGTGGCAATCAGAGAGAGATTTCTCAACACACTGGACAAGAGGATCTTCCTCAAGCTAAGACTGATCAGTTGCTTCCTGTCACGAATAAGGCCGAAGACGCAAAGGAGAACAATATCTCAGTTGATGAAAGTAACAAGGGACAGATAGATATCTACGTTAAGTGGGAAGCAACTACTGATAACCCTCAGAAGCAACTCATAACAACACTAAAAGTTACCAAGGACGCAACACTGGCTGACTTGAGGAAGCTTATTGAGATCTACCTTGGATCTGATAACCAAGCTTTCACCTTTTTCATGCTCGGGGTAATAAACCCAACAAGTTCAAAACGCTTTTCATTTTTATCTGTTTGTTATATACTCTGGTCCTAAATGCTGTTTTCATTCAATATTTTGAAGGAACCATGTGGAGCACAAGTGGCAAAGGAGAAAGAATCAACAGTTCAAGCTACGAGTCTGCCTTTCTGTAATGGACACGCTTACCTTGCTACTCTGAGACCGGGAAAGAGCTCACAACTTCAAAGTCTTACACTAGCAAGTCCACTTCCACTAACTCCCATAGAAAACAAGATGTACATTACGCCCATCTCAAAAGTGACACAGAACCACCAAGTTGATGAATTTTCATCACCCCTCGCAGCTCATCTCAGCTCCACTCCTTTCATCACTCTCCGCAGACATTAAGCTGTCTGTTCAAAGGTAGCATTCGAGATGTAACATCTCAGTTCATCACTCTCCGAGGACATTAGTCGCTAGTCTTCTTCTTTTATCTGTAACCTTTGTCTTGTTTTCAATGTCGGAAAAGAAATATATGTACGTCCACATCTTCATCAATATAATTCTACGATATTTCAGCACTGTCCAAATCTACAGTTTACAACATTTGTACGTCCACATCTTCATCAATATAATTCTACGATATTTCAGCACTGTCCACATCTACAGTTTACAACATTTGTCAGCATATATATCTTCATTAATGTCTGTCAACTTGAAAAGGTTTCCATATACCAGTTCAGATTTATTCCTGCGACGACAAGGCAGGTTTTTATATTTTTAACTCTGCAATGAAGTTTTAGGAAACAGAAGGAAAACCCATAGTCATCACAAGGAAGGTTACATTCTTTAAGGATATGAATATTTTTTCTTCAAAACAAACAATGAGAGAGGCAGATTGATTATCTCTTTCATTGCCTCTCATCTTTGTTCCAACGGTAAGTACAAATTTTTTTTTCATCGAACCACATTCTTATCTACTTCTACGTCCCTATCTTCATATCCTGTTCTTTGAGCCGACGGTAAGGAGCTCAAAGCTTCTAATGGCATCAGCATGCTGATAAGTGTCACAAGGTGTACGTGAGGAAGAAGAAAGCAAGAGTTGAGGCCCATCTTCGTGAGGAAGGCGCGAAAGTAACAAATATGGAAAAAAGAGTAAACCTTCGAGTCCAGAGAGAGGGTTTGACGGGAGAAGGAAAAGTCAAAGAGTAAAGTAAACACTCTGTTTGGAAGAGAAGGTGTGCCGTTAGAAGAACGNTTCGTGAGGAAGGCGCGAAAGTAACAAATATGGAAAAAAGAGTAAACCTTCGAGTCCAGAGAGAGGGTTTGACGGGAGAAGGAAAAGTCAAAGAGTAAAGTAAACACTCTGTTTGGAAGAGAAGGTGTGCCGTTAGAAGAACGAGGGAAGAACAGAGTTTAAATAAGGGAGTTGAAGATTAGATTTCTTTTATGCTTTGATGTTGTAAGTTCTGAGACGTTATGAGTCTTGAACTCTCGATCGCTATGAGATCGATGATCTGAACTTGTATTCGCCATGAGAGTACTTGTTTAGTTCATACATCAAAGTGTAATTGGATTCGTGATTTGAAATACAAAGAGAGTTCGTTTCTTACTTTACGGATATCTAAAACCTATCACTGGTGCGGTGAGCGTGAATCGAACACGCGACCTTCAGATATTACTTGTTAAGAAGAAGGATGGTGGGTTCCGTTTTTGTGTCGACTATAGAGCATTGAATAGGTCCACCGTGCCTGACAAGTATCCAATACCGGTAATCGATCAGTTACTCGATGAACTCCATGGAGCAACGGTTTTTTCTAAGCTTGACCTACGTTCCGGTTACCATCAAATTCGGATGAGAGAAGAAGATATTGAGAAGACTGCTTTCCGGACTGTTGAGGGTCATTACGAGTTTTTAGTCATGCCTTTCGGATTGACTAATGCTCCTGCAACATTTCAGGCCCTTATGAACAAGATTTTCAAGCCCTTTCTGCGAGAATTTGTATTGGTTTTTTTTGATGATATACTCATCTATAGTTATTCGTGGGAGAGTCATATGGTGCATCTAGCAAGAGTGTTGACAGTCCTACGTGATCAGAAGCTATATGCCAATCAAAAGAAATGTACTTTTGGGGTCTCTCAGGTGGAATATCTTGGTCATATTATCTCAGGCGCAGGAGTAGGAACTGATATTCACAAAACCGAAGCTATGGAGAAGTGGTCTACTCCAAAAACAGTTAAACAGCTGCGTGGCTTTCTGGGGTTAACAGGTTACTATAGGCGGTTTGTAAAGAATTATGGAGTTATTGCTCGACCACTAACATCTTTGTTAAAGAAAGATCAATTTCTGTGGTCAACTGAGGCTGAAGAGGCGTTTAGGAAATTAAAAACAGCTATGATATCTGCACCCGTGTTGGTCTTGCCTGATTTTACAAAGATCTTTGTGGTGGAAACTGATGCTTCGGGGTTTGGTGTAGGGGCGGTTTTGATGCAGGAGAAGCGTCCTATAGCCTTCTTTAGTCACGCATTAACAGACAGAGAACGTCTCAAGCCTGCTTATGAACGCGAGTTAATGGCTGTGGTTATGGCCATAAGAAAATGGAAACATTATTTGTTGGGCAGGAAATTTCAGGTTCACACGGATCAGAGGAGTATCAAGTACTTGTTAGAACAAAAAGAGGTTAACATGGAGTATCAAAAGTGGCTGACAAAATTGCTGGGGTTTGATTTTGAAATCTTCTATAAACCAGGAGTGGAAAATAAAGCGGCCGACGGTCTTTCTCGCAGTATGTCTAATGCTTCTATGTTAGTGGCTTTGACAGTTCCAGTGGTATTGCAGTGGGAAGATTTATACAAAGAAATTGATGAGGATCAGGGTTTACAGGATATCATTCGGCAAGTGCAGAGTCAGACATTGCAGTCATCCAAATATACTCTTATTGACGGAAGGTTATGGTCAAAAAAGAGATTGGTGATTTCAGCTCAGTCACGGTTTATTCCTCTGATTTTGGGAGAGTGTCATGATAGTAAGATGGGCGGTCATTCTGGGGTGTTGAAGACCTTGCATCGAGTGCAGAGATCGTTTACTTGGAAGGGAATCAAGCAATGTGTTCGTGATTATGTTGCAGCTTGTGACATTTGCCAGAAACATAAGCATTCTACGTTGACACCAGCCGGGTTATTACAGCCCTTGCCTATCCCGAACAGAGTTTGGGAGGATATAAATATGGATTTTATCGAAGGCTTACCGACGTCTGGTGGTTTGAATGTAATCTTGGTGGTTATTGATCGGTTGAGTAAATCAGCTCACTTCTTGGGTCTAAAACATCCTTTTACGTCAATGGACGTGGCTAAGAAATTCGTGGCAGAGATTGTGCGTTTACATGGTTATCCGGAGAGTATTGTTTCTGATCGTGATCGTCTGTTTTTGAGTGACTTTTGGAAAGAGTGTTTCAAACTGGCCGGTACTAAACTCAAGTACAGTACTGCCTTTCATCCTCAAACTGATGGGCAATCTGAGGTGTTGAACAGGTGTTTAGAAACATACCTGCGCTGCTTTGTTTCTTCACATCCTCGCACATGGTCTCAGTTTCTTGGGTGGGCAGAATTCTGGTATAATACATCTTATCATACAGCTTTGCGTGAGACTCCTTTCAAAGTGTTATATGGTAGAGATCCTCCGCGGTTGTTGAAGTATGAGTACGGGTCAACCAAGAACTTTGATTTAGAGGAGTCTTTGAAAGAACGTGATGCCACACTGCTACAGCTTAAGAAATGTTTGATGCGAGCTCAGGAAGTGATGAAGAGTCAGGCGGATAAACATCGCCGGGATGTCGTCTTTCAAGTGGGAGAGAGTGTGTATTTGAAGCTACGACCGTATAGACAACAGTCGGTTGTTAAACGGTTCTGTCAAAAATTGGCTGCGAAGTTCTATGGTCCTTATAAAGTGGTAGAACGGATTGGGAAAGCTGCGTATCGTTTGGCGTTACCTCCTGGGTCTAAAATCCATCCAGTTTTCCATGTGTCTCAAATCAAGAAGGCGGTTGGACACCAAACTCATGTTACTCCGTTGCCCCCTGTGTGTTTGGATGATGGGATCCCAGATTTAGTTCCGGAAGAGGTCTTGGCAAAACGGTTTACGCCAGACGGAGATACCGAGTTGTTGGTGCATTGGAAAGGGAAACCGGCGGGGGAGGACTCGTGGATCTCATCAGTGGAGTTTGTGCAGCGTTTTCCTTCTTACAAGCTTGAGGGCAAGCTTGGTTTCGAACGGGGAGGTATTGATAAGTGTCACAAGGTGTACGTGAGGAAGAAGAAAGCAAGAGTTGAGGCCCATCTTCGTGAGGAAGGCGCGAAAGTAACAAATATGGAAAAAAGAGTAAACCTTCGAGTCCAGAGAGAGGGTTTGACGGGAGAAGGAAAAGTCAAAGAGTAAAGTAAACACTCTGTTTGGAAGAGAAGGTGTGCCGTTAGAAGAACGNTTCGTGAGGAAGGCGCGAAAGTAACAAATATGGAAAAAAGAGTAAACCTTCGAGTCCAGAGAGAGGGTTTGACGGGAGAAGGAAAAGTCAAAGAGTAAAGTAAACACTCTGTTTGGAAGAGAAGGTGTGCCGTTAGAAGAACGAGGGAAGAACAGAGTTTAAATAAGGGAGTTGAAGATTAGATTTCTTTTATGCTTTGTTGTTGTAAGTTCTGAGACGTTATGAGTCTTGAACTCTCGATCGCTATGAGATCGATGATCTGAACTTGTATTCGCCATGAGAGTACTTGTTTAGTTCATACATCAAAGTGTAATTGGATTCGTGATTTGAAATACAAAGAGAGTTCGTTTCTTACTTTACGGATATCTAAAACCTATCACATGCCCATGCCTTCCAGATGCAAGAGATGGTTTAGACTCATAGCTCTGTTGAACCCGTTGAGTTGTGCCGAGCCGTGATCCACTTGAAAATAATCGGCTTGAGCGGTTCTCGCTTGGCTCAGGTGAGGAGCCAGGTTTGGTGCTTGACATCACATCTCTCTTTGAGGTACCTCCATTTCGGGATGAAGAACGGTGTCTATGAGACTCGTGCTGCAATTGAAGCCATCAAATCAAAACACAAACAAACTTTCTCACGTTCTTTAGGATTCTTACTTAACCTGAGAATTACTTTGGATCACTAAAGGCGGAAACCGTCATGATAGATTTCCAGGATGGCTAGCGAAAGAACGAGCAACAAAAACTAACCACTTCTTTGGAAGAAGAGGGTACATCATCAGAAGATCTGTGTCTAGAGTGGTCACCATGAGCTCCTTGGCTTGAAACATTTCGTCGAGTAAATGCCTCAATTGCCCCTGAAAATCTTCCTCGGAGGTCCTGTCCCACTAAACAAGACCAAGGAAATCAAGTTCTGAGTTCTTATTTGAGAGTTTGTCAAAACTAAATCTCTGATTTTCTAAGAAAGGAGACATATGAACATTACTATCTAACGGTCTCCAAGTCTTTTCAAAGCCCCACACATATAAAGAGTAAAAAATGTACCTGTAGATTTTTCAGATCTTTCTGCAGGTGGTCCTGGAGGATCCAAGGCTGGTCTTGGAGTCGGCTGTTGTGAACGATAGACATAACAATAGCACGATAAGCTTTTGGATTGTTATGAAATTTGGATCTCCACACTTGAAATCAATAATAAAACTAACCCTTGGTCTCGAACTAGAGCCAGTCTGAGGATATTTCAAGGTTGTCCAATCAAACACATAGTCCAGCTGGTAACCTACAAGCATACTTCGTTTCATCAAAACAAACAAACAAGCCATGGGTACGACCATAAACAATCGAACAAACACAGCAAGAAGATTCTCACCTTCGCGAATGAAAAGGTCCCTGAAAAGTCTCCTCAGATATGAATAATCTGGTTTGTCCTCAAATCTCAATGATCGACAGTAATGGAAATACGAGGTGAACTCAGATGGATGGGACTTGCAAAGAATCTCCAAAAAAGTAAAACCAAGCCAAGTCAAAAATCAAACGGATATCTGAAAACATTTTCCATATATATAAAATCGTAGCAATGGTGTACCTCTACCGGAGTAAGCATCTTCTTTTCACTAATCTTGTCATACTTCTGCTTCTTTGTACCAGCTTTTAAACCTTGCCATGGAAGACTGAGATACAAGGAGACATTGACTAAAGTTTAAGGATGTAATTTTTTTGATAAGTTATAAGCTGATATGCAATCAAGAAAGTTTCATACCTTCCTCGTAGAAAATACATCAACACATAGCCAAGTGATTCCAGATCATCTCTTCTACTTTGCTCTGTAAGGATGAGTCAGCAAGGAAGACAAGAGTTTTCAAATGCTCCAGATACGAAGCGACGGATGTGTTAGATGAAAACAGTTCTTACCAATCCCAAGGTGCGTGTTGACACTTGCATACCGTGCAGTTCCTGTTAGATTCTTGTTTTCCCTGCAAATTTACACGAATTCTAATAAAGCAAGCCGGAAGAAGGGTGTAGAAAGGAAAGCATCACACACAGGTCCTGAACTCAGCGGGGAGTAGAAAACGTTTTCTATAAGAACCAATGCAGCATAAATATATGATTCGTTAATAAGATATGCACACAAGGAAGCTTAAGAGTTTGCAGATATCACCTGTATGGTATATGTTTTTGTGTCTGAAGATCCTTGTATTTTTTAGCAAGGCCATAATCGATGATATAAACCTGAGGTTCAAACTTAATTTGGTTAACCAAAAGGCTGTAGCACTAGTCCTCTATCCTAAGAATCAGACAGAGAAGTACACGTTCAAAACATAGACCAAGTCATGATGCAAAAGTAGGAGTACCTGGTTTGCTTTGCGCCCAAGACCCATCAAAAAGTTGTCTGGCTTAATATCGCGGTGAAGAAAACTCCGGGAATGCATGTACTCAACTCTGCATATCTGCATCGATACAACATTTCATTTTTAAAAGGATCACATTAGCACCGAACACAACCTGACGTGATAAAGCAAAAGGACATACCAACTGATCTGCAAGCATTAAAACAGATTTCAAAGTGAACTTTCGATTGCAGAAATTGAATAAGTCCTCCAAACTGGGGCCAAGAAGGTCAATAACCATGCAACTGTATTCACCCTCGACTCCGAACCATTTGAGATGAGGAACACCAGCTATTCAAAAAAAACAAAAGAAAATCATGTCAAAGGCAGTGCCAGTGAGAGGGTTGGTTGGAACTTTAAACTTCACATAAAACAAACTCACTTCCTCCTTGAAGAAGCATATATATCTTTGACTCATACTGCAGTTGAGGATGCCTCGTCTTCACAGGTTCCTGGTGAGCAATTTTGGAAAGGAAAACAAAAAAAAACAGAAATGTAGCAAAATCCAATTCACAAGATAGAAAAAAAAAATGAAACATTCTCAGCAATAAAGTCTTACTACAACCTTAATCAGCCAGACAAATTTGAATGAGAAAGTAAAGTTACCAGCTTAACAGCGACTTCTTCTCCAGTTTGAATATTGATCCCTAAAATAAAGATCAAATTAAACAACAGTGAACAAGTCAAAAGTAATGCAAGAATTTAAAAAGGTAAAAGTGATATATATACCTAAATAAAGTTCGCCGAAGGATCCGCTACCGAGTTTCCTGCCCAACTTAAACTTCCCCCCGATGACATGATCCATCTTCTGATTCCTTTCCATTTTTTTTTTTCTGATGCTCAAAAATCCACAATCCGATTAACGACTAAACGACAATCTCATCAGTTTGGGTTAGTGCCCCAATCTAGCAAAGCTGATTTTAATAGTGAAAGTGGTTTTAATGGACTTTGCAAGAAAGGGAAAGAGAGTGTGTTTTCTTTAGTGTGAGGAATTAGGAAAGAGAGAATCCGTGGAAAGAATTTGAACGATGAGGGGATTTAGTAGGGATCAATGATTCGGATCTGAGCTTTGAGGAGACTGTAGAAGGAAAAAGAGAAGAAGGAATAATGAGAGAACTAGCTTTTGACCAGCCCTTCAAAGGGCGGGTATATTTTTTGTTTTAGATTTTTCTAATTTAATTTTCATATTTGTGTTTTTCTTTGTAATCATATTATTATAAATTACTCTTTTCAATAATTAATAAATGTTTGATAATTGTATTGATTTTATGCAGATTATAATATGTTTAACCTTCTAATATAAATAATTGCTATTGTGAAATATGTAATCAGATTTAAAGAAATCATATTATTTTTACATTTTATTAGCATTTAGAGTTATTAGCGTAATTAGTTAAAAAATATTCATTTTTTTCTAAAAATCAATGTTAAACCTACCTGAAAATTTGGATCCTGAAAACGACTAAGTCCAGTCTATATACTCAAAAACATTAATATAAGACAGTTACTTTTATTTTGCTAAACTTAATTTGTAATATAATATTAATATATTATTTGCAATGTTTTCATATTCAATCAGAATCTGTAACCAACACAGTACATCTAATGATATGCATATAATCTCTTTCAAATTTTGAATTAAATTATAATTTTTTTTATTTTAGAACTACATAAAATCCTGTTAAAACCTCAAGAGTTTTTCATTGACCCGTGATTCGGTTATGGTTGATCTGATAAAAACCTAGATAAATCGGGTCAACTTGAAAATCTGGCTAAAAATTAACATATAATTAATGTGTTTTCAAATGTTATTAAAATTTAATTTCATAATCATTGTTTGACTAATACTATTTAAATGCTTTCTATTTAATTCTACTTTTTAAGAACTAATGTAGATAAATAATTTTAGGTTTTCATATATAATTCACATTTTGATATATTCATAAATCTAAAATTTTAGTTGTAAAAATAAATATATATGATAACGTGAACAATCAATTGTTGTTTTTGAAAAACAAAATCATTGAAAATTTCAAATATACTTTTGTCTATTTACAAAAGTAGTTGATGTTATTTAGCATTAGTTTATTTTGTTATCAATAATTTATTACAGTTTTTTTCTTTATTTTTTTATATTTTTTTTGAACACATACAATTTTTTTTTTTAACACATACAATTTTTTCTTTAATTTTTCGTTTTTTTTATTTAAAGTTTAATTTTATCATTCATATAATCTAGATGTAAATCAATTTATTAGTTAAGAGTTAGGATATTTTTGTAGGATGGTAATAAGGCGTATTCTGTTAATGAATTAAGTGAAAATCGTTAGGAGGAATGATATTTCGATTTATATTATTATTAAGTAAGAGTTATTAATTGGTAATTGGTGAATAAATAGTATTATTTGGCATATACTTAGTTATAGATTAACAAACTATTTTCAAAACAGAATATATTGTTATTAGAGTTACGCAAAATTTTGGATGTGGCGTTTTATATTTGAGATTTAAATTACTCATATTTTGCGTGTGATTTATCATTTAAGAAAATAACTTATAATTAGATAACTTAATGGTTTTAATAGTTAGGATCTAATTGGTTATAAATTTCAAAGTAAAGACAATATTAAATAGGGTTTACGATTTCGTTTGATATTATTAAGGGTTCTACACATATCAACTAATCTGTAATATATTGACTGATGGAATAGATGGTTGGACTTATTGTCTTGCTTGATAGATGTTTTCTACAAAGCAAATTATTCATAACTTAACTTTCTTACATGTAAACGATAAATTGTTGGTCATTTTGCATTTTATACATATTATATACACTATACATATATATACTCACTTTATATGTTTCCTTCTACACATTAATAATTAACAAAAACAAATCCAAATGATACATGGACTATATATTTGTTTGCAGGTTGTTTTTTGTGTGTGCATTGGACTTACGATTGGGTAGCTTCTTTGGAAACAACTATTAATCTAATGATGGATAAAGTTTTTTTCTAGCAAAGAGAAACCTATAGATGTATACTGGAATACTTATATGTCATATGTGTTAGTTTGTCTCTCTATACGTATTTGTAATACGGATCACTTTAAAAAGTCATATATAAGAATTACAATATAGTAGTAGAGGCGAGAATAGTATGAGCCGAACTGAATTAATATTTATTTAATGGTTATTATAGAATTAGGGGATATCAATACAAATAAATGGCTAGATTTTTGGTAATTTTGGTGGTCTATTTTTCATTTCCTAAATTACCCTTAATGAATTTTAGTTTCTAAGACAAATTTGATGGCATAAAAAGTAATATGCCAAGTAAACTCAAGGGTAAATTCATAAAAGGGTTCTTGTTTTAATAGTATTGATGAGAATTGACAAGTAGACGGAATACTCTTTACTTTTTGATTGATCAAAATCTTTTTTTACCATGTCATTTTATCAACCGATTCTAGAGTTTAGAATTAACTAGAGGTTGGCCGTTCTAGGATTGGGAGAGTTTACACTAAATCTATTTTATAATAGAATATATTTTAATTTTATAAAATATTTAAAATTACTTTATTTATTGAAAATAATAAATATAATATTTTATCTAATATATTAAAAGGGAAGTTATGACTCTTTTAATGTGTGATATTTTAAAATGGACCATCTATTAGAATTTATCTTATTACATTATTTAATCATTAATTAATAACATTAAAATTAGTTACTTATAATTTTGGACTCAACAAAATTTTTATTGAACTAACAATAATTGGATAACCCATTAGATTTATAGATAGTATAATAAGACACATGTTTAAATTAAATATATATAATTTAGTTTTGTAATAGTATATCTTCATAAGTTAATTATTTATATTTTGTTGATGTTAACTTTTAAAATTATATAGTTTATTTTTTAATATAATAAAAATCATCATTTTCTAACAATTATTAATCTATACTATCTTAAACCAATAAAATTTTTTAAGTTTTATAGTTTATTTAAAAAATAACAAAAACTAAATGTTTAATTATTTACACCATAATATGAAGCTAAAAGTTTTTTTTTTAACTTTGTAAATTTGAGAAATATGAAAATATCTTTAAAGATGACAATAAAACAATATTGTACCAATCTTTACATATATTTACGACTTCAATAATGTAGTAATAATAATAATCTAAAACAATATATATAGAAGAAGATACAAATACATGTGAAGATTTGAAACAATCTATTCGATGAAAAACTAATATATGATAAAATTATTATCTTTTAAAATGGATATACACATCTCATATATAAAGTGAAAAAAATTGTTTTAAAAAAGATTGAAAATAAAATGTTTCTATAAAAATAAATGAAAACAAACATAAAACACCCGCGCGGTTGCGCGGATCGAGATCTAGTTGTAACATTAAATTGTAAATTTTATTGGTTTGATTTGAAAAAACAACTAACATTTTTTTTGTTAAAGGATGCAAAATTTTTAAATTTACATTATATAAAGATGTACATTCCTTTAAAACATAAAATATTTATATTCCAAAATCAATACAGTGAATTATAAATTATTCTATTTAAATGAATCATTTAGTTAAATATTTATCTTTCTATCTTTGCAAAAATAACTATCTATATTAATTAAGCATATTTTTTACATCTATGATTTGTATTAAATATTACACTTACAGCATTATTTTTTAAATAACTTTTATCTTATATTGAATGTATATATAGTCGTCGATTTTTTTTTATACACAAAGACTACATCAATCAATTACAATGGGATCCATTCATGATATATCTTTTATTTAACTTCACAGAGAAATATAAAAAGTAAATTATATCATCTAAATAGAAGATGTACCATAGATCCCCTTGATTGATGCAATCTTTGTGTATAAAAAAAGATCGACGACTGTGCATTCAATATAAGACCAGAACTATTTAAAACATAATAGAATAGTATAATTTTTAAGATCTGCCACTATATATTTAATATCAGACAAAAATTATTTTAAACATAATGGCAAAATGTAATATTTAGCACAAAGCATAGACATCTAAAAAAGAACCATAAGGATCACTGATTGAGATATAACTTAAAATTTCATACTGTAATTTTTTTACCTGTATAACTATTTCTGTAAATGTATATTTTCTATATCACAAAAAAATCACTTTAGTAAATATGAGTTTTATAGTCTTTGTTTTTGGCTGTATCTTTATAATCTTATATATTAAAACATAAGTCATGACTTGACTTCATGTGTGATTTTTTTAAAAATTGACTATTACTAAAATGTCATGTTACATTAACTCTCTAATAATCTTATCATTATTATATCTTATGAAAAATCATATCAATAATAACAAAGATACGTTTAACAAATTGGTTTTGGTAAATTACCCCACACTTTCCAACTTAGTCACGCAAAATATGTCAACAGTTATAAGTTTAGGAATCTTCTATTATTTGCAAGGAAATATGTCAATAATAGTTAAATGCCCCAATATATTAACAAAAATCCCAGATTCGTAATATGGAATATTTATATACCCTAACAAAATTTACACGCTATATATACTAGATAAATTTATTTCGATTTAAATTTTTAAATTTATATTGTTTAAAAAAAAGAAATTGTTTTAAAAAATTCTTTTTTAATAAAATTCTTTATAATATTAATTTATGAAGCTATAAGTTTAGTTTTTAGCAAAAATTTCTTTGAAGTTTATATTATCTTTGAAAATTAAAGTATACTAATATTTAATCAAGCTCTATTTATATTACTTTATCTAAAAATGAAATATCAATCTAACAAACAATAACATATAGAAGAAGAAACAAACACATGTTTAAAAAACATGTATAATATAAAAAATTTGAAACAATCTATTTGATTAAAACACGTATTATATAATATTATTATGTTTGAAAAACATTTACTATACATATCGTAAATATGTGATTACTATAATATATACCAATTTACAAGTGAAAACAAAATGTTTATATAACTAACTATAAATGAAAACAAAAATCCGTGCGGTTGCGCGGGTCAAAATCTAGTTGATACTATTAAAACATTAACTTTTTTAGATGTCAATGACTTGTGATAATATTACACATGTGTTATTATCTTTTTCTATAATTTTTATCTTATAGTAAATTGCATCAATCAGTAACAGTAGAATTCATGGTATATATTTTATTTAAACTCACAGAAAAAATATAAAGCAAAAGTTATAGAGTATTAGTGGTTATTCCGCGTATCGTGCATAAATTTTTCTTCTTTGTTATTTTGTTTAATATTCATTTTTAATTGGAAAAGTTTAGTCTATATTATTTGGCGATTGTTATTTGTATGAATGATTTTCTTTGTTTTCACTATTTTTTTGCAATTGAACTTGTTGTAGAGAAAATTAATTTTAGTTTGGCATTGTGTAATATTTCCTAATACGACTGTTGGGATGGTTTGAATTGGGTCATGTCCTATTTTGAATTATGGGCGGTGTAGAACTTTTAATATGTTTGTTTTCTATTAAATTACCTAATTTATCTTCTGCTTTTATATGTTTTTATCTAAATGATTACACCAAAACATTATTAAAAACTAGGACAGGCCCGCCCTACGGGCGGGGTATATTTTATTTATGATTTTAATTTAATTTTTATTTATTATTTGATTTGGTGATTGATGTTTTAAGTTTTGCATTTGTAAAAAAATATATATAATAGTGTTTATTGTTTGTTTTGGTGGTGCTTTAGGCCAATAGGACATTTTAACTGATGAAGGATATTATGTCTATTTTAGTGAATGTTTGATGTTTGCTTATTTTTGTCACTTGTTTTTTGTTTTTTATTTGTTGTCAAATACACATTTTCCATAATACTATTTTAGTTATTATCATTTTGTTATATTTTTTATAATGAGAACACATTTTACATCATCATCGCATATGTCTAACTTTTTTTTTATTCTTGTTAGAGATCATAGGGTTGTATTAGCATGATACAACCTTAATTATGGAAATAGTATACATTTATTCATTGTTTGTTCATTTTTTTATATTTAGTCAAGTATTATTCTGAGTTTTTGTTGTTGTGTTAGGTTTCAGTTCTCAAAAACATTGATTATTTTATAATTTGGTTATATTGAAGTTACTTGTGTTTTTAATAAAATTTTATTATTCAGTTTCAGGTATTATTAGTGATTAATTGTATGAACAATATACTATAGAAGTTTCACTCAAAGAATAGAAACTGACTGATTTTGTTTTGGTTGATATATTGAGATCACCAAAAATGTTTTGTTTTGGGTCATTTTGTTTTGTTTTGATCGTGTAGCTAACCGTGTGAGGAAAAATGATTAGGTTTGTTCACCAACCTCTGTACCGGTCATGATCTCAGCTTCAAAAATCATGCTACCAAGTCGAGTGACCATCATTCTCGTACCATTGCATAGACCTTGCGTCTGGTTACACACCATCATCACCGCAGCTCTTATTTTCATAAGTAATCGATGGCTCATACCAAATGGTTTACATATTTCAAACAATAACTGTAATTGTTGTGGCAAAATTACGCACATGCTTTATAATCAGCCCATGATCTTAAGAGCCATGTTATAAAGTAAGTGTATTAATCATTACCCAAAAAAAAGAATGCTTCTCACTTTGTTGTATGTATTTTTGTGTTGAGAAGTAAGATATTACCAGCCTTCCTGAAATTTCTCTTAATGCTTCTGCCCAACAGGAAGTTGAGTCTGCGATCATACTAACATTCATTCCATATCTCTAAAGTATTCAGTGATGTTGATTCCTGGAGTCACATTACCAAGGAAAAAATAGGGTCGTAATTAAAAAAGGTTTCTATGTGCTTTATGTCAAGAGAAGATGTGATATGAGCTTCTTCAAAAACTATTAAACCTCCATGCCTGAAAATTACCTGTGTAGATTGAAGCTTCACGAGCAGCCACATGCATGTTAGAGGTGTTGGCAACCAATGTAGTACGTTCATGACAGATTCCTCATGACCATCAGGCAACGTCATTACAATTGTGGGAAGTCCATAAGCACCTAATTTATGAGAAACCATCAGACCAATTTTTTTTATTATGTGTGACCAATAGGCATATTCAGAAGGAGAAGAGGCATACCTCAGCCATTTTATTTCCTCTTTCTCCACAACCAATGTAAACGACAGCATCGGAGTTGGAATACTTTTTAAATCACAACACATTAGCTCTTAAAAAGATTGATATGTCTAGAACACGCTGACAACAGAGAATAAGAAAGCTATCAGCAAATACTTCTTTGAATGACAATGACCACTGTATCAGATGTAATCACCTGCCCCATAAGTAGAGGAGTATCCACAGCAAGTTTGGATGCGACTGGCTTAGGCGTACGCACATGCCAGCTCTGACATATTATCAGTCAAACCAATTTTAAAAAGTGAATGGGTAGCTAAAGGTTTGCCGAGTAGGAAAACTACATATGCTTCAAACCTGAAGCATGGTGAATGTTTTCTTAACCCCCTAGAATTGAAGCTCTAGCACAGTATCCTGGTAAGGGAAAAACACAGTCAATCGATTATGTCAAACAATGAAGAAAGAGAAGGAGTTATTCATATATATATACACATCGTTTGAGAGAAAGTAAAACTTAAACCTTAAAAGAATATTGACCAGCAGGAGCAAGGTAAGTGATCTTCCCCATGGCATCAGGATGAAGGGCAACACGGTGAGTCATCAGAGTGTACTCGAAGACGATCTGCGTTCGAAATTTATGTTTTACTATCAGAAAAAAAAAATATTTCAAATCGATTACGGAGGTGGCCAATGAACTTACAGCATACAAGTCACCTCCAGTTATTGTGTCTACCTCGACTGCAACCAACTCAAAATGGATTCAGACCATGTTAACACTAACATATAGAGAAGTAAATGAAGTAAAAGACATACCAAAATCATTAGGCTGGAATTCCCAAAGACAATCTTTGTCAAGAGCTGGAACAGACACACCACGAGGATGTACACATCACCAGATCTTTTCGTAATATTCTTCAAAGGCCTTTGTGATATATACAAAAAAAAAAAGAATTGTGAGACGCCACAATCACTGCAGATAGTAATGTTATAACAAAACATAGAAGTCATAAACTTTACACTTCACCTGAATTACATCGAAGATGTTTCCCAATATTTCTAGTCCAAGCTCCACAGAAAGAGGCTGTCAAAATTTATGATAGCTAAAGACAAACAACTCCAAAGAAAAAAAAAGAAGTCATTTGACCTTGTGGGTTCGAAGAACATGATCATTAACCGTCAATCCAGCTGTCTCCTCGTAAACTGGAAGTTGCAAAACATCAGTTAAAAGTATCTCACTTCTACACATCCAACGTATATGAGAGATACAAACCTTGGATGGTGGCAGAATCTCCTTCAAGCGGCTGATCTCTCCAATAAGATTATCACTACCAACACCACTAACTCATACATAGCAGCACCAGCCACAATGACGGGACCTGAAACCTTTGTCGCAGAAACTTATATAATCATGGGTGATTGATTAACGGAAGGTTTAAAGATGATAGATCGGTTACTGGTCTGGTAAGGAAGAAGATGAAAGATCGGTCGCGCAACCGAAGTCGCCGTTCAATTCTGGAGATGGGAAGACTACCTCCGCTAACCCTAAGAGATAACGCGGTGTTTCATCATGAGCAAGTTGATACATCACGGGATGGGCTTGACTAAATAAAAGCCCACGCGAACACAAAATAAATGATACAACGCGTTTGGCCCATGCTGACCTGGCCTTTCCACGCTGGCGCTGAGGTGGCACCCCTTAGAAGGAAGGATGTTTTCTTTTATATAATAGATAGATTGCCACATAGCATTTTTTTCCTATAGAGAAAAAATCTACTTTATTATATATGATGTTCGTTCTGATTAAAAAAAAATGTTCGTTTTGTATTAAAATGATCATCAAGGAAATGAGTCATTCACAGATATTTTAAAAATTTAGGCTAAAATTAAACTCATCTGGTATGGAGATGAACTTGTCCAAAATAATGAATACAAAATTTATCATTGTTTTAATATATATTTAAATTTAATATTTCGACAAACAAGTAATTATGATAAATTTTCTCATTAAAACCATAAAATTATACTTTCTCACCAAAACAACAAACTAAGTTTTTTAGCTAAACCTCAAATCTCTTTTAGTTCAAAACAAATCCAAAACAATTGTCCACAAAACCCACGATTTAATACAAATATTGAAAAAGAAAATGGTGATGAGTAAAGACGACAAACGGGTCGTTATATGAATGTTTGTCCCACCCTGATGCAGACTTCATTTCATTCGAATGTTTTTTTGGATCATTCCGCTGCAGAACGCAGTCACTTGAATGTTTGAAGTCATGACCAATCGCAACCTTTGCAGGTTGGCCCGTGCGACGCAATACAATGCACATACGAGTTCACAACATGATTCTTTTGTCTTTCCACACCAGCATAATCTTTTATAAATTCACAAATGATAACACTTTGACTTCAGTGACAGACTTTTGATTCATAAAAGAGTCACAATATCACAAACGTATAGTTATTTCATCTTATTCTTTAATTTTACCGGATTGGATGCGGTTAAATTTTTGGGAATGTAAATATCTTATAGATGAAAGAAAGAGCTTACAAAGTTAAGTCTTACAATTTAGAACCCTTGAAAAAAGGTAACAAAATTTGGGGTACCAATAGCACCCTAATAGGCAATCCACATAGTCATTAAGTTTTCGAATTTCTTGGAATGTTGTCGGGCAAAAATTATATGCCGGATGGGGTGGTCAAGTTCTCTGAACAGGGATTGCTTGATGGTTATGTAGGAAGTTTTTCTTTTGTTTCCAAATGTTGTACATTTCCAGCTTACGGAGCATAGATGAGGATTTAGGCTTATCAGTTGTAGTCCATTCAAGAAAACCAGCGCAAGATGAAAACAAAACTGGTGACAAAGTCTACTCTTTACTTGAAGTCAAAGAGAGATATTAAACTCATAGTGACGGAGGAGGTGATCTCTAGACTCCGAACAGCATAGACAACAATGAGTTGAAGTTTGAATTTCCCCAAGAATCCAAACGAGAACACATAGGTAGTCTGTTCTGATGGACAATCCACATCAAGAAAGCATACCTTGAACAAGACAGAGAAAATCCAATCATGTGTTGAGGTTTGATCAATTGCTATTATAAGTAGCAGCAACAACATTAGCTTTGATCAGAATACTAAATCTCCATGGACTATCATCACCTATGATAGTATGATAGTAATCAAGGGATCAAACGAGGTCAAGTGATCTAGTCAGAAATTTGCTTTTATAAGAAACAAACATATGCTAAGAGTGCCCAGAAGTGTATTTTGAGAAAATATATATTTTTCTCTGTTCTCTCTCCTCATCTGTTCCCCTGTTATTGTTCACTCGTTTCAATGGCTGGAGCTTCCTCGCTCCAGAAAGCTACTGACCCGCCAAATCCTGGAGCATCTAATCTTGGATCTGGATCCCCTCTTCACCCATTTCAATTTCCACCATTCCCTCACTCTCCTGAAGCCGCCTCAAAGCCTCAGGGTTCTCCACCAATCCTCCCTTCTTCTCCTTGGGTTTTTGGGAAAATGGGTTCTCCTAGGCTGTCTCCGGATAACCGAACCACTACTATGGTCAACTTGGAATCATGTTCCACTACTATGGATATATCTCTTACTACAATGCCGATTCAGATCCCTGAAAAAGGGCTGGAAAAACTTCAGATACTCCCTTCAGCAAAAACTAAAGAGATAGACCTCATCTCTGCTCAACACACTACCCTTTCAGCGAACACAAAAGGGACAAATTCTCCTACTGCAGCCATATTTTTTGGTACTGTAGCAATCCCTAAAGTTGATATCATTACTACTCCTGTAATTTCTTCAGAGTCTTTAAAAGATCTCCCTCCTACTACATGACCAGAGATACTGTTAAACCCTAGCTCTGAATCTTTGAAGGTTTCTCCTTCTCTTCCAACTTCAGGTTCACTCTCGGCTGGCCAAACTAAAACTCCTGGTCCAGTGAATTCAGTAGAAGCGTCTCCCTCAATGGAAGCAAACTCACAAAATCTCCCACGCAATGACCCTCAAGCTAGCCGGAATTCTTCTAAACCTCCTCCTTCAGATAAGACTTATGCTGCAAAAGCTAAGAAGGGGACCGATAGATCCTTGGAAAGACTAGCTCCAGTGGCTTTCTCTCCAACGTGAATTCCTTAAGTAAAAATCCCAGACGAGGTTTTCAACCGTGGAGCTGAAGCGCATAAAGACTTTGTTTTGGGAGTTTTCACTGGAAAAAACCCCTTACTACAGCCTAATTCAAAGCGTTTTGACTCACATTTGGAGAAAATGCACCAAACTGGTTATCTACATGCGACCTCAGTCACACTCTATGCTAGTAAAAATCCCTAAGGAATATATTCGCCGGAAGGTTGTAGAAGAAAAGATATGGCATATTGGGACTTCTATGTTTTATGTCGCTCAATGGAGTGCCCAACTAGCCATAACACCTCTCACCATGGACTCCATACCTCTTTGGGCTCATATTTGAGGTGTCCCTTTGATCTTTACACAAGAGAGGGGCTCAGTCTAGTGGCTGGAAATATTGGAGACCCGGTTGAAGCTGATGAATTTACAATTCGTATGGTCAGTCTTGATGTAGCCCACATCAAGGTCAGAGCCAACTGTACAAAGCCTCTCCCATCAGTGGCTGAGCTTATCAGGAGCGATGGCTCCATCATCCCAGTATCTGTTACTTACCCCTGGATTCCGCCGATTTTCCCTTGCTGCAATAGCTTAGGTCACCTCGAGCAAAGATGTCTTAGTGCAAAGTGGGCTCCCTCTGCAAAGGATTCTTCTAATGCTTCAGACACTGCTAATCAGTCTGAGAAACAAAAGACAACTTCTCATGCTCAGCCAGCACCCTCATCCCCATCTAAGGATAAGAGGAAATGCCATTTTTACCCCTCCTCTCGATCGTCTAAGGATGATACTGCTGCCTGCCATACTCCTATTGATAAAGCCCTTGAAAAGACTAATTTCTCTCAAGAGTCTCTGGTTGCCAACCCTTTCTCGACGACGACCATATCTTTTGAGATGGGGTCTCAGGCTGTGAAGCCTTATATAAATGTTTCCTCCTCCAAGAAACAAAAAGGCTCCCACCTGAGTAGAAGAAGATCTTCTCCTGAGTCTAATGGAGGTATCTTCAGCGCAAGCGTATTCTCTGGAATCTCTTTGGCTAATCTATATTCTCTCTTGGAACCCCAGAATCTCGGGCATCTCTTTACCACTGGTTTCCCCTTCAATAGTAAGGAATCTGATGGGTCCTCAGGAGAATCTATCTCTGTATTTGCCATTGTGCCTCGTTCGCATAGACCAACTACCCCTGTCAAGGGCTCTTCTCCACCTGGGGGAAGAAACACAAAATATTTAATGTCAGTAAACCTATGTTTTTGGAATGTTAGGGGATTTAATGATAATGCAAAGCACCCGGCTTTTTGGCACTGGATTAATAGTAATAATATCTATTTTGGAGCAATTTTGGAAACTCATATTAAGGAGTAGAGTATTACTCGGATAATGACTTCCGTTTTTCCTCAGTGGTCTTTTGTTTCTAACAACTCTGAATATGAAGACGGACGAATAATAATGTTTTGGAAAGCACATGCGGTCCTAACTCCTCTGCATATGTCAAGACAAGAAATTACGTGCAAACTTGTGTATCCGGGACTATCTACTTTCACAATGACTGCTATTTATGCTGATAATACAATCAATGAAAGGAAGCTTTTGTGGAATACCTTATTGGAAGTTAAAGCTAATCTTTCGCTTAACAACTCTCCTTGGATCATTGGGGTAGACTTTAATGAGATTATCCACTGTGCAGAACACTCCTCTCCTGCTTTCAACAGCATCACTCCTCATATGATTGAATGCAAGGACTGCACTGATGATTTGGAAGTTAGAGACCTTCGGTTTCATGGTCCGCCATTCACCTGGACCAATAAACAACCTGATGATCCTACATCTAGAAAATTGGATCGAGTGTTAATAAATGAGGAATGGTTACTCACCTTCCCAAATACTCTGGCGCATTTTATGCTCCCAGATTTCTCTGATCACACTCCAAGTCTTGTTAATATGGAAACTGCTCATCCGGTTGCTGGTACTCGGCCGTTCAAGTTCTACAACTTCCTAACAGCTCACCCGGATTTTCTAGCTACTGTCATTGAAGGTTGGGAAGTCTCGCAGCCTGATTCTTGGTCTCTTTCTAGTCTAAACAAGAAACATAAGATCCTTAAGAAACTCCACAAGCACAATTACTCTGAAATCCAAAAAACAGTAGGAGAATGCAATCAAAACCTCAAGGATCTTCAGCTGGAATCGCTAACCAATCAATCTGAGGCAACTTTCCAAGCTAAAAACTTTGTAATGAGAAATTGCATCACCTTAGACGCGTGGAGGAGGCCTATTTTCATCAGAAATCCAGAATCCAGTGGCTAACAGAGGGAGACCAAAACACAAGCTTTTATCACAAAGTAGTGATGGCAAGGAACTACTTCAACACAATTCATGAGCTTACCGATATTAATGGAACAACCGCTACTCCAGAGGCGGTGGGTCTTCTGGCTATCCATCATTTTACCAATGTGTTGGGAC